CGAGCGCGCTACCACCTGAGCCACATTCCCAGCCCCAGCATGGGACTCTTGATAGGAGCAAGAGTGTGTGGTGTGGTGCTGCCACCTGTAATCCCTGAGACTTGGAGGATTGCAAGTTCGAGGCCAGCCTGGGCAATTTACTGAGACCCTCAGCAATCTGGTAAGATCCTCAGCAACTTAGCAAGTCCTGTCCCAAAGTAAAAAATAAAAGGACTAGGGATTGTGGAAAATTAACCCTGGGTTCAATCCCCAGTGGTTTAAAAAAAAAAAAAAAAAATACGGCTCCAGCACCTGGGACAATGAGGAAATTATCAGCAATTCGTATCACAAAGGACTAACGTCCCCAATAAAAGTATTGATTCTATAAATCAATAAAAAACAAACCTGGACAAAATGAGTAAAGGATATGAAGAAACAATTTATAAGGAAAAAAATACAAAGAGCACTAACATGAAAAGATGGCCAAGTTAACTCAATACAAGAAAATTTTGAAACTAAAAATATATTAAGTATCTATGTTTTATCTACTTGATTAATAAAAATCAGAAAGTCTCATGCTACAGTTTTAGCGAGAGGTCTGGAAGAGCAGGTACTTCACACACTGACCATAGGAAGAACAAAATTTATACAAATTATATACAACTGTCTAGCGAGAATAATTTGGAAAGATCTATCAAAATTACACATGCAGTCACTTCACATCCACAAAGATGGCTATAATTAAAAAAAAAAAAAAAAAAGTTGGGCATGGTGTCACAAGCCTGTCAAACCCAGCAGCATGGGAGGCTGAAGCAGGAAGATAGCAAATTCAAAGCCAGCCTCAGCAACAGCTAGGTGCTAAGCAACTCAGTGAGACCCTATCTCTAAATCTCTAAATAAAATACAGAATAGGGCTAGAAATGTGGCTCGGTAGTCAAGTGCCCTTGAGTTCAATCCCTGGTACCAAAAAAAAAAGACAAGGGCTAGGGTTGTGGCTCAGTGATAGAGCACTTGCCTAGCACATATGAGGCACTGGTTTAATCCTCAGCATTATATTAAGAATAAATAAGTAAAATAAAGGTATTGGGTCCATCTACAACTAAAGAAAAAAGACTCAAATTTACAAATTTATTAAAAGGATTAAAAAAAGAGTAATATGAACAACTGTACAACAAAATTAGGTGAAACAGATATTGAAATACACAGAAGTCTAAAGAGATAAAAATTATCAAATACTGGCACAAGGGGCTGGGGCTGGGACACAGTGGCAGAGTACTTGCCTCGCACATGTGAGGCACTGGGTTTGAGCCTCAGCACCTCATAAAATAAATAAATAAAATAAAGATATTGTGTCCTTGTGTATAACTAAATATATATATATATTTAGTTATACACACACACACACACATATATATATATGTGTGTGTGTGTATATATATATATATATATATATATTTAGTTTTTATATATATAAAACTGACACAAGAAGAAAATGTTAACAGAACCATAAAAGTAAAGAAATGGCGGGGCTGGGATTGCAGCTTAGCAATAGAGCACTCACCTAGCATGCTGGGTTTGGTCCTCAGCACCACATAAAAATAAAATAAAGGTATATTATATATAAAGGTATATATAGTTATATATATATAACTAAAACAAAATACTTCTTTAAAAAAGTAAAAAAATGGAATTAGTCATCAAAACACTCCCAACACAGAAGAGCCTATCCCCAGATGACTTCACTTTAAATTCTCCTAAACATTTAAAGAATATCAATTCTGCCAAAAAACCAAAGACATCATGAGAATACTACAAACCAATATCTATTATGAATGCAGATGCAAAAATCCTCAATAAAATAGCCAACTAAATCTAACAACATACAAAAATAGTGTATGTGTACAGATGGATGGAGAGCGAGCGAGCCAGCCAGGTGTGTCTAGAGTCCCAGCTACTCGGGAGACTCAGATGAGAGGATAACGAGCTCATAAGCTCAAAACCAGTCTGGGCAACAGCAGAAGCCCCCATCTTCAAACTAATAAATGAACAAAAGACTGTACATGACTGAGAACCCAGGAAAGTATGATTCAATTAACATCTGAAAACCAACTAATGTAATACACAGTAACAGTAAACCACCAGACAAAAACCACAAAGTCATCTCAATAGACACAGAAGAAAAAAAATTAGGGGGTGGGGAGATACCAGAGATTGAACTCAGGGACACTCAACCACTAAGCCATATCCCCAGCCCTATTTTGTATTTTATTTAGAGAAAGGGTTTTCACGGAGTTACTTAGCACCTCACTTTTGCTGAGGCTGGCTTTGAACTCATGAGCCTCCTGCCTCAGCCTCTTGAGCCACTGGGATTACAGGCGTGCACCACTGCACCTGCCTCACAGAAGAAATTTTAACAAGTCCAACAGCCCTTTACAATGAATGAATGAATGAATGAATGAATGAA